TCCCAGGAAAATCATGGGGAAAGCATGGGGAAAGCACAGGAAAATCCCAGGGAAATAACAGGAAAATCCCAGCAAAATCCCAGGAAATTCATGGAAAAGTCATGAGGAAATCATGGGAAAATCCCAGAAAATCCTGGGAAAATCCCATGAAAATGATGGGAAAATGGAATTGTCTTCCTGGTGAAGAATTCCTGGTGATTTTGGGTTGGATCCCTGTAGAATTCCGAGGTTTTGGGGTTGCATCAGAACCAGGTTGGGGTTCCCGATGTTTTTGGCTTGGAATTTGTGGAGAATTGTCGGGTTTTTGGGGTGGAATTTGTGCAGAATTGTGGGGTTTTCGGGCGGGATCAGCCCCGAATCCCAGAATTCCCTCTCTGAACCGGTTTTTCGTGTTGTTTTTCGTGTTGTTTTCCCTGTTTTTTCCGTTGTTTTTCCCCCATTTTTCCCATTGCTTATCCCGTTGCTTTCCCCATTTCTCCCATTGTTTCCCTATTTCCCCATTGTTTTTTCCCATTTCTCCTGCTGTTTTCCCCATTTTTCCCATTTTTCCCTATTTTCCCCATTGTTTTTCCCGTTGTTTTCCCTGTTGTTTTCTCCATTTTTTTCTGTTGTTTTTCCCCATTTTTCCCCATTTTCCCCATTTTTCCTGTTGTTTTTCCCATTTTTTCCATTGTTTTCCCTATTTTTCCCGTTGTTTTCCCCATTGTTTTTCCCATTTTCCCCGTTTTTTTCCCCATTATTCCCATTTTTTCCCCATTTTCCCCATTTTCCTGATTTTCCAGATGGACAGTCACTCGTTTTTCTGGAACGTGGCTCCCGGGGCTGAGGGCGCCGTGTCGGGGGCGGTGGCGGCGCTGGCGGCGGCTCAGGCTCTGCACGGGGCCCCTGGGGTGGAAAAACTGCCCAGAAACGTCCTGTTCGTGTTCTTCCAGGGGGTGAGGAGTGGGATTATTGGGATTATTGGGGTCATTGGGATCAATGGGATCAATGGGATCGGGATTGGGATCAATGGGATCAGGATCAATGGGATCAGGCTCTGCACGGGGCCCCGGGGGTGGAAAAACTGCCCAAGAATGTGCTGTTCGTGTTCTTCCAGGGGGTAAAAATGGGATTATTGGGATTAATGGGATTGGGATCAATGGGATCAATGGGATCGGGATTGCGATCGATGGGATCGGGGTCATTGGGATCAATGGGATCAATGGGATCGGGGTCATTGGGGTCAATGGGATCAATGGGATCGGGGTTATTGGGATCAATGGGATCAGTGGGATCGGGGTCATTGGGGTCAATGGGATCAATGGGATCGGGGTTATTGGGATCAATGGGATCGGGCTCTGCACGGGGCCCCGGGGGTGGAAAAACTGCCCAGGAACGTCCTGTTCGTGTTCTTCCAGGGGGTGAGAAACTGGGAATGGGATCAATGGGGTTATTGGGATTGGGATCAATGGTATCAGAGTTATTGGGGTCATTTGGAATGGGATCGGGATCATTGGGATTGAGTTTGGGATCCTGGGATCCTCGGGATGGCTCTTGGATTTTTCTTTTTTCCCTTCCCTTCCCTTCCCTTCCCTTCCCTTCCCTTCCCTTCCCTTCCCTTCCCTTCCCATTTTTTCCCCACTTTTCCCCTTTTTTTTTCCTCTCCACTTTTTCACCTTTTCTCCCAATCCCCCAGAATTCCAGGATTTTCTCCCATTTTTTCCCAGGAAACCTTCGATTACATCGGCAGCTCTCGGATGGTTTTTGACATGGAGCAGGAGAAGTTCCCGCTGCGCCTGGAAAACATCCGCTACTTCCTGGAGCTCAGCCAGGTCAGAAATCCTGGAAAAATCACGGAAAAATCCTGAAAAATCTGGGAAAATCCTGGAAAATCCCAGAAAAATCCCAGAAAATCCCAGAAAATCATGAAAAGTCTGGGAAAACCACAGAAAATCCCAGAAAAAATAATGAAAAATCCGGGAAAATCCTAGAAAAATCTGGGAAAATCCTAGATAAATCCTGGAAAATGCCAAAAATTGTGGAAAATCATGGAAAATCATCGTGGAAAAACATGCCCTGGGATCTACCAGGCCCAGAATTCCCGCCCGGGGGATGGGTTTTCCCTGGAATTCCCTCCCATCTCTGATTTCTCCCCAGAATTCCCCACCCCAGCTCTGATTTTTCCCTGAATTCCCGGAATTCCCGAATTCCCGGCTGTTTTCCAGGTGGCGCTGTGGAACGACTCCGTGCTCTGGATGCACACGGATCCCGTGTCCCGAAGGAACCAATCTGTGGAGTCCCAGGTGAGGCAGGGACCCTGATTTCCCCTGAATTCCCAAATTTTCCCA